GTGAGCTTGTCTGTAGTTTGTATGTAAGCATGTCTATAATGAGCAAATGTGAGTAATTGAGCTTGTCTGTAGTGAGCATGTATGTGTGTATTAGTTAGTTTGTCTGTGTGTGTCATTGGTCTTCTGTGTTAATGAGATTGTCTGTTAGTGGACCTGTGTATCAGTGTGCTTGTGTGTATAATTTAAAGGAACACTATAATGTCAGAAATACAAACGTGTATATATATATATTACACACAAACGCTTCTCTACCAGGACACAATCACTTATAAGGCTGACATACATTTCTTTTCCAGGGCTGTTCTGCATTCCCAGTCTGGCCCTATTTGTTATTAAACACTCAGGAAGAAATTGAGAATTTTGAATGGGAGGAGTTATTAAAATAAAAGAAATAAAAATAGAAAATAGTTATAATGACTACAATTTTGCATTTTTAACCAAGTATAACAACAAGGCAAATAAGATTGAAAGCCAATTATGTAACATTGTCCAATTTTAAAACAGGTCAATTTTAAAAAAATGTTTTAGCCAAAAAAACTACAAATTCATATATAAAAAAAACTGATTATTTAAAAATGATTTTAGCCCCAAGTGTTCTTCCCACACGTAAACCAAAAGTAAAAAAAGTTATTTTTAATGGACCAATTAAACATTTTTTTTTAAATGTTTTAATTGTAGTACCTGCAATCTTCAAAATAGAAGGACTATGCGTTTTAAAAGTTTTACCACAGGATGATAATTTTGCGCTTTCTTTGTAAATGACACAAATTTAGAATAATGTCTCATGTTCCATGTATTTTATTTACTGTATATGCATTTTTTAATTCAATTCATACATTTTAGTATTCCATATCTGCTTAGGTGTACAGATTGTGAGGTCCACCACTGCTGTCAAGACATCCATTTGAATTTTTACCTTATGATATGAGAAGTCAATTTAAAAAAAAAAATGTTTTAATAAATTGGGCCAGTTGGCTTCTTATCCACATTCCATCAGTGAGTCTGCCGAGTGATGATTTTAAATGTATCCATTAGCGCAAACACGATCAGTGTCTCTACAACATGTTGAACAATACTGTTGCGTGTGTACGCAATGGATATCTATAAAGTTATTTTGTGCTTTTATAGTTGAAAGCACATGCACAGCAGGCTTACCCGAACATCATCACTGTGGTGAAAGTGACCTCACCACTGGTTTTTGGATAGGCCTGTTTGCCAGCCTCCTACCCTCGGACTATGGCCCTGTGGTTAACTGGGGGTTAAAGATACTGTTTCTGTCTCTTGGACTTATACTGGAACAGATTTGAACTTTCGAAGTGGCACTTCGGCTACAGTCAAAGTAATCGAAGTGGCTGCCATTCAACATTTGAACACGAGGCGTTGGCCATCTTATTTGGTTGAACGTGTTCAGCTGTGTTTTGTCGTCAAGTTCATGGAACTCAAATCAGACATGCGACAGCACGAACACCGCTGAAAAGTTACCTTCCAGGGAACTTCGTCAATTTGAATGGGAGTAGAACGGCGTTCAGTGAGTCGAATCCCACAAACAAACGACACACATTGACTATGTTCATTCACCATTTAATTCGGTAATTTGAACGGTATTTCGACTGTTTAAAATAGACCGGACGCACAGCCTAATGCTCTGGAACTATTTTAGGCATGAAACCATGCATGCGGTCAGGGAATTTCCTGAACCCCTGCTCTGATCTGGGTGATTTTTGGATATGTTGTTCACCCAGATCAGGGCTATCAGTGGATGTGTTGTATGGGGATATGTTGTATTTTGGGGTACTTATGAGACTTTGTAAAATATGTGTTTTTCTATTCCTGGGGATAATTACGTTAATGCCTTATCTGCCTTAATTATATCACAGGCAGAGGGGAGGGTTTGTGTGCTGTATAAGGGAGTATCTTTCATTGTCACATTGTTTTTATTGGCTTGTACACTTTGTGTCCCTGTGCCCAGCAAGGTCCACCTGGGCGTCACCTTTGTTGGGAAACTTGCATAAAAGTCCAGTGTGCAGTGGCGTACATACCAGGGTCGCAGGGGTCGCGGCTGCGACCGGGCCCGGCCCACCAGGGGGCCCGGCCGCCCTTGCGACCCGGTATGTAGACACTGGGCCAGCCTCTTCCCCTGGGGGGCCCATGAGCCAACCACCCCAGGGCCCCCCGAGGCTGGCCCTGCTGTCACCAGGCAGGCGGGTGGCCGGTCGGGCAGGCGGGCGCGCGAGGGAGCACTCAGTGCTTCCTCTTCAGCTCCCTCGCGCACCGCACTGATACCGGAGCCGGAAGATGACGTCATCTTCCGGCACCGGCATCCCTATGCGGCGCGCGAGGGAGCTGAAGAGGAAGCACTGAGTGCTCCCTCGCGCGCCCGCCGCCCAGACAGCCCGCCAGCACCACTGGACCCCAGGGAATCCCCCAGCACTCCAAAAGGTAAGGAGACTGGGGGGATTAAATTAAAAAAAACAAAACGTGTTAGTGAGTGAGTGTGAGTGTTTGAGTGAGTGTGTGTGCTAGTGTTAGTGTGTGTGAGTGTTTGAGTGAGTGTGTGTGTCTGCTAGTGAGTGCTAGTGTGAGTGTGTGAGTGAGTGAGTGTGTGTGTGTGTCTGCTAGTGAGTGCTAGTGTGTGTGAGTGTTAGTGTTTGAGTGTTAGTGTGTGTGAGTGTTAGTGTTTGAGTGAGTGTGTGCCTGCTAGTGAGTGCTAGTGTGAGTGTTTGAGTGAGTGTGTGTCTGCTAGTGAGTGTTAGTGTGTGTGAGTGTTAGTGTTAGAGTGAGTGTTAGAGTGAGAGTGAGTGTTGGTGTCTGCTAGTGAGTGTCAGTGAGTGTGTTACTGTGTGTGTCTTACTGAGTGTGTGTGTGTGTGTGTGTTAGTGAGTGTTTGATGTCTGTTAGTGAGTTTGTCAATGAGAGTGTATGTTTTGTAAGTGAGTGTGTATGTCTGTCGCTGAGTGTGTCTGTCAGTAAATGTGTGTGTCTGTTAGCTAGTGTGTATGCGTCTGTAAGTGAGAGTGTGGGTCTTCAGCACTTACCTTTCTCCAGCGCCGGACTCCCTTGGCGCTGGGGATCCCTCAGCTCCGAATGCGACCGTGCACGCATTCAAACCGAAAGCATTACTCAATGCTTTCCTATGAACATTCAGTGTGCTCCTCTAGCGGCTGTCAGTGAGACAGCCACTAGAGGCTGGATTAACCCTCAGTGAAACATAGCAGTTTCTCTGAAACTGCTATGTTTCCAACTGCAGGGTTACAACTAGAGGGACCTGACACCCAGACAACTTCATTGAGCTGATGTGATCTGGGTGTCTGTAGTGGTCCTTTAAGTGTGTGTGCATCTGCATGCACTGGCGTACATACCGCGGTCGCAGGGGTCACAGCCCTGTAACCCCTGCAACCAGGTGCCCACCGCCATGTGTTGCGGCCGGCCCGCGCGCTGGGGGTGGCCCACAGATCAATTTTCGCACCGGGGCCCCATGGGTCATGTGTACGCCACTGTCAGTGTGCATCCATTAAAATTGAGTTCCTGTTTTAGCCTTGTCTATGGCTGAAAAGGCTGCATCTACCCTGGGGATTGCTATATCACTATACTCCCCTGGGATTATAATCACTAAGCTCTGTTACGCTCTCTTGGAGGAGAGGTTCACCCACTGGAAGCTGGTCTTGGGGCCAGTGTGGATGGAGGATGGCAAGTTCCCAGCCAAGCTGTAACGCTGGATGTGGGGACTGTGGTGCTGATGGTGTCTGGTGGAGTGCTTGGGGGCCTTGGTGAGCACTAGGAGCATTCGTCGGCAGAGATACCCAACTGAGGTACAGGAAGCTCCATTACAATCACGTACGGTGCCACAGGGAGGAAATGGTTATGCGTGCATGCACCAGATC